CTGTGGGAGCCGCTCTTGGAGCTCTCCCTCTTTCGTCCGTGTGAAGGACGGTCGTCGACCGCTCGTGAAGTTAATACATCACCAAAAGAGTCTCACCCGATGAATAAGTGGCGTAGGCCGCAAACATACTACCCCGTATGTTTTCCCAGAGAGGGGCGACAAGGAAATGAAAACCTTTGTCAAGTATGGAGCCAAATGGTTCCTTCAAACCTCAGGGGAGGGGGGCTTTTGCGGCACCCCGGCGGCATCCTCGCCGGAAATGAGGGTGTCCTCGACTCAAACTCGACTCAAACTCGAAAGGAATATCTTCGATGTATGCTCATGATGAGCATGGCAACTACATAACTGCGATTGATCGTCCCGACTACAGTCCAAGATTTTGAAAAATTCACTCCAGAGCAGTTAGTTGTCGTCACGACTTCGGATCTGCGGTAGAACTCTGATCGTTTCGCGACAACGAGCAGCCAGTTTATTTATTTTGTATTTTTCGCTCTTCTTCCATTTCGTGACCGGAACTCTCACCAACGTCTACTGGAAGACTCGATCTTTGCTCGACATTCACATCTTGCCTCCTATCACCTATCTATCTATCCAGCATTAAATGTCGTATATGTGTGTATGCATCAGGCATCAATTTGCTCTGCGATTGCATTTCTAATTCACTCTTCATCTTCTCGACCGGAGATCTCATCACCATCTACTGTAACACTCGGTCTATTTCTGAACGCTCAAGCTTGTCTCTCATTGCTGTACCTCTATATACCACACGATATACCACACGTTTCCACAACAATAAATGTATGCATCACGCATCGATTCGCGAGTGAATTTGCAGCAGTGATCCTCTCGTTTAACCATGGTCTGCACCTCGTCTTACCTCTCCAGGGCACAATTTTTCAAGACAGGTACACCAAGTCCTTCGCAAATGCTTACCACGTGCACGGCGACACGATTCGATTCCCCCAACGTATTTTCTCCCAAGTGGTTCTATATACGGTTGGGCGTCACCCTTTTATCCATAGATCTACATACTATTTGGAGGAATAGAGTGGCGATGAATCCCAAATGATGCCAACCGGGACACGGCGGAATGGCCTTAGAATGCCCGCTGGATGGATTTGTCGGCCTTCCTCAGCTCGAAAGCCCTTGCAATGGTGCGCAACGAGAAGTGGGTTGACCGGTAGGCGTAAGTGTGCCACGTGGTGGCTTACATGCCACCCCCCTACTACATATTTTACTTCACCGGCATCGCCGGGCATGTAGACTGTTATGGTTCATGACTGTAGTGCAGGTGTTCGTAGGCAGGGGCAGAGGAAGTTGGTGGCAACGCCTCCCACAACGAGAGCACGGGACAAGTGTTGGGATTACTTTCCGGTAGGTGCAAGCCGGATGATGGCTGCAAGGGGAGATTCAGCCCCTCCACTAGTCTACCTCCACAAAAAAAAATCCCCCGGTACAAGCCGAGTTGGGGTAGCAGTTTCTGCCTAGCAACCAGAGTGCACGACCAGTGATTTTTGGGGTGGGCACAGGGAGACAAGCCTCGGCACATGCCATCATCGGGAAGCGACTTGCACGAGTATCTCTAGGAAGCTGGGTCGCATGCTGTGTCTTGATGACTGTAGGCAAGCACACTATGCACATCGAGCCTTTCAGACCTGTACATACTGTAGTTGACCAGATGAAACACTGGCAGTAACTTCCGGCTTCACGCCTGCGCCAAGAACGCGTGGCCGTGGGTGGTGGAGAAACCACTCCACGAGTAATCAACATCCACCCCACCACCATATCCTCGAATCGATGTTCGATTCTCACGTGCGTTTCACACACCGGAGCCTCGGGCGTCTACGTATCCATACCATGTCAAAGNCCACTCCACGAGTAATCAACATCCACCCCACCACCATATCCTCGAATCGATGTTCGATTCTCACGTGCGTTTCACACACCGGAGCCTCGGGCGTCTACGTATCCATACCATGTCATAGACAACAACACCCGACGACATTTGATTGTTGAAGCTTCCGATAGCGCGTGGCTGCGCGGTCCACCGGCTTCCGGTTCATGGGTGGTTGGCGGTTCGGCGTGCCTTACCGAGAAAACGTTCACATTTGGAAGGCGCGCGTTTAGACCTCGGATTCCAAACTCAAAACGCAACAAACGATGAACCCATAACGTTATCACGTTACTTCACGTGCCTGAGCGGGCGTGCGACACCAGTACACNACGTTCACATTTGGAAGGCGCGCGTTTAGACCTCGGATTCCAAACTCAAATCGCAACAAACGATGAACCCATAACGTTATCACGCTACTTCACGTGCCTGAGCGGGCGTGCGACACCAGTACATGGCGGGGACCAGCTTGATACTGCCGCTGCTGCAAACCTCTGGCTGGCTCTATCCAATCACCCTCGACAAAGTCGTTGACGCTAGCATGTTGGGGAAAGAAACCGGGTAGGCCAAAGCTTGGCGTGTGTGGAGTGTGGAGGCACCTCCGCTAGTGCGGGCCGCGATGGGTTGGCCTAATCTTGTATTGTAGAGCGTGGTGGAAAGCACCGGACAAATCACCACGGCGAGAGGAGGAGTGTGAAGTCACCACATCCGTCCGTCACGCAATTCCGATCACTGCGACTTACTGTAGTAGAATCTCCCCACAGCGACACTTTTGGTCCTCCCGCAATCATCCGACTACAGCCACGATGCTACGAGTATGTCCAACAACAGGCTAGATGAAACACGACTGGAATTCAAATCGGAAAAACTGATGCAAAAAGTACAATATGGGTTGGATGCTCGTGTGAACCACCAGAGCACGAGAAGCTTCTGGGTCATTATGTGCTACCCCTATCGAATCAGTCTTCAGGCCTCAAACCCACGAGAAACCCTTGGACTATTATCTCGCTGGTATTGAGACAAACGCCTGGAAACATCGAACTCTATTCCAAATCAGCCCAAACACTCCCTTCAGGAAACATAAGTTTACGGGAAGCGTGGGAACAATACGCTCATGGGTTCAATGGGCACTATGAACACAACGATTGATTAACACCTACGCAAAACCTACTCGACAACGTATCATAGCGCCTTGACCCTGTAAAGTGCCACCAAAATCCGGCGACGTGCTCTTCAGGCCACGTCCCTAGTCGTGCAATTTCCCGCTTCAACTCATATACAAACGTCATGCCGAGAGAGAAGGAAAACCAACACTTGAATCGATGGGGGCAAAGATCGCCATCAACGACGCTTGTTTGTCCGACAGCAAGTAATTTGGCAAACCGTTTTGCCGGTCTACGGCTTCCCCAAATGAGTAAGCGACTTGGTGACTTTGCCCATTGCAACAAAAAGCGTGGAAGAAGACACTTCAGCGCCCCATCCGATCGAATTCCCTCTACTCAAAAAAAAGTTGACGCTCGTGCTGTAGCGAACCTGCGTCATCCATTGATCATTGACCTAATCTACCTAAAAGGCGTCAAGAGGAAAATCCAACTGAATAATGATCCACGGCTGTGGGCCCAAACAGGGTTGGTTTCAACGAAGGAGAACCACGTTCACCCCTGACTGCATGGTGGGGTCCTCGCCGTGAAGTTAGAGCTCGAGAGTGTCCATGGGGAAGGTAACATCCAGGGGGCCCGCGACGCGGTCTGCCCGGTATTGAACAATATCCACACGCAAAACGAATGATGCATGTTCGGCGCAGGGGTGGTTCAGGTGGTTGTAGGGTCGTAAAGTTTCCGTATCAGCTACTGTAGATTGCAGTACCTATATGTTGTTCGACAACGAACGAAATACGGCGAGTGTCTCCAGAGACACTCCATGCACTTTTCACAAGCGTACAGAAAGGTTGGAGCCACATGTAGGACAACTAGTCAATGACTCGTGTATAAACCAGGGTGGAACACGCCGCTACATCGCACCTCCCCATGGAATTGCCTCGCGAACACGCGAACACAATGGGGGGTGCCGTACCAGTACATGATAGAGCCGGTGGCGCCGGGAATGGACACGGAAATAACGCCGGGTCGTTAAACCTGCTCCCCACTCCACCGTATCGTTCTTCTGTCCTTCTGTGGCTGTGGCACGCAGGTTCCTTGCGTTGGTGTGCTTGTGTCCGCGAACTCTTACATGAGAGCGGAGGTTCCGTCTACACAAATGCTGCTCACACTTCAAAGGTTGTGGTATGTTTTGTTGCTGTGTGATAATAACGACGATTTCATTCTGCGCTCGAGTAAGCAACATGAGCGGTGGCATTATTGTGACTATTTTTGAAGCGGGTGTGGAGTTTCGTTTATGCGCAACCTACGGTGAACACCATGTTCAACAGTCTACAACGTTTATGTGCCTCATGAGGGGGACATATCGGAGGCTGGTGCACAGAGGATAGGAATCGCCGAGATTCAACAGGGTTCTGGCATATATCCCGAGGGGCGAGGATTAGCCCACCTACGCTGTCGCCGAGGCACGTTTTGCTCTACCAAATCTCCGACTATGCGTGCTATCTAAGACTCACAGTCTTCCTCGGACCCGCGGATGGCTTCCATGCCGGTCATGATGTCCTGGCCGTAGGCGTCCTTGGTCGGGGTGGAGGTCTCACCGAGGATCCCGGTTGCGGAGTAGCTCACCTGCGAGCACGGATGGATACGACAAGTGCTGTTGAAGTGCGGGGGACGAAAGCCCGGTGGAGGAGGCAACGGGTTGCCTTCGTATTCGTTCCATTTACCGACAGAACAAAACACATACTTCTACATCATTCGATTCAATTTTGTGTTTTCGAGTCGTGTGTGTGTGTGGAGCTTACCTCGTTGTGGTCGATACCCATGTTCATCTGCCAGGTGGTGTGGTCGGGGAGATCGAACCGGTTAGTGGGGTCGCGGGTCGCAATCTGGTGGAGGCGACCGTGGCTCAGGCGAACCGTGGCCGTGGGGGTCACGATCTGGAACGAGGCGTGCTCAGACTGGAGGGCGAAGAGGCCACCGGCCTGCCCCTCGGCTTGCGCAACGTACTCCATGCACTCGTCCATGTTGGTAGCCGTAGGGTCCTGGGACAAACGCACGACCATCAACAACAAAGAGAAAATGCATCATGACAAGAACATCTTCAAACGACGACGCTCCGAGTCGCTGCGTGAGGTGAATAGTCTTCAAGAAAAGTGCATCGAAAATGGTGGGCAACTCCAGTGTCGAACAACCAACAAGAGCATTACGTGCCAACACGACGTGCACACCTCATTCCGCAACGCATTTTTAACGCACCGTGGAGGATCCAACAACATGCGACTCCGATTCCTCACCCCGAGCAACCAGTCTCCCATGCTCTGCTCGCCAAGGTGACGGCCGTGACGGGCATTCTCGAGCTTCTTGCGCTCCCAGTAGTGCTCGAACCCGAACGAACGGCACTCCCCCGGGAGGTTGACCGCCGTCACGATGACGCCGTCGGCGAGAGCTACGGACCCCGGGGCAGACAGCTCCTCTTTCCCGTTGAGCATAACCCTCAGGGATCCGTCGGCGAGGCAGGGAGACACCCCGGCGGGGCAGGCACTTTCGATGTCGTGCGGGTTCTTGACCTCGATGACAATGCTGTGGACCTCTCCGTTGGCGTCGGTGGTCAGAAGAGACAGCCCGGTGATGTACGTGATCTCCGGCAACGAGGGGACCGGGCTCGTGACGCGCTGGCGAGGAAAAGCGGGGGGACATGACACAATCGTTTTTCGGGCCATTCGGGGTTGGGTGCGGGTTTCGAGCACATGTGCGGGGGGACATGACACAATCGTTTTTCGGGCCATTCGGGGTTGGGTGCGGGTTTCGAGCACATGGTTAGTCTGTGTTCGTTCGTCCCGTCACCGTTCCTGATGAGGAAGGTCAAACGTTTCGGCCAGTTCGCCATGAGGTAGCGACACCTCGCATCACGACAAACAATAGCTTATGGTCAGAAAAGTCAATGCCTACGGCCATCGCGCCATGAGCAAAGATGCCCCGCATCGCGAGGGCCTTACCACCGCATGTCCACCGACCGCACAGCGAGCACCAAACCTCGACGACAAAATCTACAAACCCGATCGAACGTTCAAATTTGCCCCAATACCACGGATGATGGTACAGGCATCCGTCATGGTTTAGCTTACGTCACCCGCCACAATGTACGCAAGTACCGAGGCTCACCATGTTCATGTGCATGTTCGGAAAGTCACTGATGAGGGCGTAGTAGCCGCCGTCCTCTCCAGTAAAATCGAACTTCTGGCCAAGGAAGCCGGTCATGTGCGGGTCCCCTACACAGACAGTTCCGTGAAAGGGCAGTACAAGTACAACGCCCTCTACGGTGTAAGTGATATCCTGTTGCTGCTGTAGCGCCCCGAACACCTTCAATTCTCTCACGAGTGAATGCAGTGGGCAAGATAAAAGCCAATCGCGAGCTCTTCAAAATGCGACAGGCTACGCACGGTTCACACGGTACTTTGCACATTGCAGCAGGCGGACGGCCCAGGCAACGTGCCGCTTGGGACCAAGGGCTTGTCGACAGAAAAAGTCGTGATACGGAATCCAAAAAATATGTCAAACTGTAGCTGCGCACAAGAGGGCCACGTAAAGCTCCACGGGACAATAAACAGAAGCGAGTCAGCCATCAATGTATGTTGAAGTGATTGCGGTCGAAATATTGCAGCACGGTCTTGGAATACAGCTTCCGCACGAAATCGGATAGATACAACTCACCGCAGGCTCGTGGCCCCGATGTTTCCGTCGGATCCTTGCACACTTTGGGATCTGTTTCGTCACAGCACTTGAGGCCTGTCTTGCATTGGTCGTCCCTATCGCAAGGGCAATGTAAGTCCTTGTCGCTCTCTGCGCAACTGTCGTCGCTCGAGTCACTGGAGTCGCCGCCCGAGTCCACCGAGTCTTAGGATTCCAAACCCAGTAGAAACGTTCGCCAGGGGAGGGCAGGTGCATAGGGTGGTGGGAGTAGAGAAAGTATAACGGTGGAAATCTCCGTTAGACGGACGTGGCTTTCTGTACTGATAGAAGGGATCAGGCGGATGCCTTTCATCGGCATTTCCTCTCCCACGTCCGGCGCGAAGTGCATGACACGTGGTGGACCCAGCGTTGCATTTGATGATTCTCAGAGTCTTGGGGGTACCGGTTGTGATGTTGATCCGCAATGTCGAAACATGTGTAGGGGTCTTCACTTTTCCCACCCAAACTGTCATCACTACTCTTACCTCCGCCTCCAAGAATCTCAGCTTGGGCGTTGGCGATGTACAGCAGAGGTAGGAGCAGCGCAAACATTGACGACGTCTTCATTGTGGCGAAGGTTGTTTGGTTTCCTGTGAATGTAGCACATCGACAACAAACGACGAAGAGGGGGCGTTAATGGGACACGGCGGGAAGGCCGCGGCATGAGGGTGAAAATCTCGGGGAGCGAGATCTCACGGACGCAGTGCATGCCGGTCACATTCTTCCGCGGAGGAGAAAAAGTGTGCTCCGACCGACCTTCTCATCGCCTGATCGGTTGCCAACACCAGAGCAGTGAGGGCTACAACTGCCCTTTGTCGCCAATGTAGACTACTAGGGGGAACGATTGGCCCCCTGCCCCACAATGGAGCGGGCGGCCAGCCTGCGTGGGATGGGTGCGGCGGTTTGATAAGCAGAGGAAGTAGACGCGATGATGACATCGCTTCGGAAAAGGGTACTCGAAGTCGGCTTTGTTGGTTAGGCAGACGATGTGCGGTCGATACGTACACGTACGCCTGTCGGTTGCATTGACCGGTGTCCTCCAAAATACAATGAAAACAGAAGGGATTCTCGCGCAATGAATGATCGATGCCTGATCACAAAACGTGAAGCGGACAGAAGACGGGGGTGGGGAATATTTTGAGGAGGGAATGAGTGTATCGGGAAAACAAAGACGACGCCGTATGAAAGCGAGGAAAGGAAAGGGGCCGTTGTCGCCGGTGGCCGTGTATGCGGGGAAGAAATTTGCGGCGGTGTGGTATCCGTCCGTGCGAGTGGTGGTTGTGGCGGGCGAGATGGCGGACGTAGCGAATCCGTGGAATCACACAAAGGGTTGTGAAGAAGTGAATCGCCCCGCCGCCAGCCGGTCGGGTTCCGGATACCCTATGGAAACTTCTCTTGCCTAGCAAACAAGATGTCTCGAAAGGGGGGTATTAACGTGGAGACCACCTTCATCAAGAAAGGCACCATCTCCCCATTGTCTGTGGAGGACGATCCTTCTTTTCACAGTAAGTTGGGAAATCCGGAAATATGACGAAGGCCGGGTGTTTTTCAAGACGCTTAGAAATCGATTCTCCTTGCATGTCAATTTTATCATGCTCGGACGGGATAGGCGGTCAACGAAAAAATATCAAACATAGGGAATGATGTTATCATAAGCTCCTCATCTCCTCCCGTGAGCAAATCAACTCCGACACTGATCTCCCGAGGAAAAACACTACCATGTTTTCTTGTAATACTTTTTATATGTGCTACGTGCACAACCACATATTGGAGTATCTTGAGCAGTTTTTTGAGGTTGACCGGGACCAAACATTCATTCAGGGTGGCAACAACGAGCACGTCGGACGTGCAATAACGAAGGGAAGAAAATATTTCATTCAGAAACTCAATGCATTCTCGGAAAACAATGTTTTTTGAACGGATTGGAACTCGTGACTTTGTTCAAATTTTGTGCGGGAAAACTCTTATCTCTACTTCTACGTTGTCTGAACCGGTCTTCAATCCTGATACTAACTTCCTAGCAGAGGGAGTACTGTTTTGAATAGAATGTCTTAGTTACGACAGGGATGCATACGCGCATTCGCTAGCCCACAGCACGCAGAAGTGTGTTGCAGTTGTCCTATACGTTAATGGACGAAACACATCGATACGAAGAGATCACACCTACCTGTACCGGCCAATCGTTCCCTTGTACCACCGGTACAACGCTACCACTCACTCCTCCGCTTTCTACTTAGACACTCTTTCGCCCTTTTCCATTCTCAGGACCCCACCCACACCCGCAATCACACCTATCTCCGACGGGTAGGGGGAGCAACACGAATGTGTGGGTGCTTCTTTTGCGTGCAGAGGTTTGTCCACCTAGCACCAATCAATGCTATCAAGTTTGGGTTGATCAGATTTTTTCCATCCCCAATCAACGCTTGCTGTCTTGGTGCTGTTCCGGAATGTTGGTTGAGATAGTCACAGCGGTAGACACACACACGTGTTCGTCGCCAGGCACAGGTTGACGCATGGTTCGAAAGCAGAGCTACTGCTCGGCACGGCAGCAATGTTCGTGTCTGGGTGATGGTGATGTAGTCTAGACTTCTACAGCAAAAACGCCTTGTGAATGATGAGATGGGAGATTGAGAACCGAACGTGAATCCGCGAAAGACCACCTCAAACAAAACACGTTCATCACTGCTGTGCTTTCCTTATTCACATCGACCGCGCTAGTCACTGTGTGTGCATGCGCTAAGACTTGTCTACAGCTGCAGTGTTTCACTTGTCCCGGTGGCGTCACAATGCCCTTCGCCCTGTCGTAGGAGGTATCTCATGCAGCCGACGTAGCAAACATAGGTAATAGTTTTCGGTCTTACCCACGTAGCACACAATCGGTGTGGGTTGCAGCAAGTCTTGATTGGCCCCAAGCCAAGTGCTGCTGGATAAGCACGGCAGTCCCGGTTGACAATGTGAAGAGATGGTAAAGTCGTTTTGTTGGTCGTCCTCGTAGACACAAGCAGCGGAAGGGAGTGGGCACCAGGGTGCATCACAAACACGGAGGCACGCGAGCTACAGTCTAGTCTCAAGAGACATTCGGATCTTGGAACACATAACAGCACGGAACGCGTGACAACTTGCCAAAGATACCACAACCGGAGATAGCATCAAACACCGAGGCAAGCGAGCTATAGTCGCAAGACACATTCGGAACTCGGAACACATGACGGCACGGAACGCGTGACAACTTGCTAAAGATACCACTACCAACAACATATTCGCCTGATTGAGAGCGTAGCATCTGATTGAGAGCGAGATTGCGCGATACGCTGTAGCCGGACATTCACTGAGAGGTGGAGCTTGCTGTGTAGCTTGAATTGAAGGGCTAGCCCGTAGCTTCAAGCCGCTACCCTGGTCATCCTGTGGGAGTCTCTCGTTGTGGAGCTACAGCGGGGAGCAGAAGCTACAGCAGAGCCCACCGCCCGACGCGATACCGCCCTGAAACAGTTTGAGCAGAAATAGCCAATCTGGGCAAATCTAGCAACTTGTCTAGCTCCTCGCTGCAGCATCCGATGACGATGACACGCATATGCTCGCGAAGCTGCTGATGAGACCTTCAATTTGCACCGCTTCTTGGAATAGCCCGTCCCCTACTTGCCAAGAAATGGCAAGAGGCGTCTGGACCCGAAATTTCAATTTTTTTGGCTCTCGCTCTCAATCAGATACTTCGCTCTCAATCAGGCGAATATGTTGTTTACCGGAGATACCCCGAAGATCCAAATGACCGATGGACGGCCACGTACTTGCGCACTTAGTCTACCTAGCTCAAAACCACACATGACATAAGTACTACCGCAGTAGCCTTCGTAGGAATGGCACAATCCACCTCACGAACACCCTCCTCCCTGATTCTGTGCATCATTACGAATGCTCTCAAAAACCAAAGTGGCCAGTGTACAGTTAGCGCCCGCAATTAAGAAACGCTTATTTCAGGTCCAGCCTCGAAACTCAGCGTTCATGTCGTTCAATATCTAATGTCAAGCTTCATATTTTCGTGCCGCCGAACGCCGAATCCTGCTGAACTTCCTCAATCGGCAATTTCTTATTTTGTCTGCTCACGAGAGCTCGCGGAGAGCACCATCAAAACCGTACAGCAGACAGCATATATATCGTGGTTCGCAGCCTGTCTGGTGTGCTGTGCCAGAGCCGGAGCGCCAGAGAGCGCCAGAGCCGGCAGGGGGCCGAAGGGGGCGCCGCCAAAAAAACACTCCCTCCCCCCTCGTCGTATAACAAATAACGCACTTGGGAGGGGGGGGGTAGTGGGAGAGGGGGGAAAGAGCGTGTCAAGGAAAAGTGTTACAACGTAGTCAGGTACAGTTTACCATAGGTGCGACTGCGGCAACTAGCCTTCCGTAGGCATAATACAGAACGAAGAGATGGTACTTGGCAGAGAACATGAGCACAGAGTTGTAGCAGAGATAATTTGGCAGGCGTGACTGTTGTTGAGTAGCTTTGTGCGTCGGTGCCTTGGCGCGCGGGCTCCCTTGTTTGGGAAATAAAAGAGCCAGCGGCGCGGTAGCCGCCAACGGTACAGTGTAGGAACTATGATGGGCGTGACAGCCTTCTCCTTTGGGATGGAGCGTGATAGCTCGGGTATGGTATCTCTGGATGTGGCGTGGAAGCCTGGTGACGTGATAGTCGTGGTGTATATGTATAAGTAAGGACGTGGATGTCCGGAAGGCGTGATAGCCGGGTGGCGTGATAGCCGGGATTGGCGTGGTAGCCGTGGCGTGATAGCCGGGTAAAAAGGACTTGATTGCACACAGGAAGGAGGTAAAATAGGAAACAAAAACAAGCAAGTGAGAAACCACAAAACACAGTCACCATATCCGTTGTAGACACACATATACCCCCACCCCCAATCCTGAAATATGCGGCAAAGCTGGTACCACCAAATCAAATCCATAGCAACTGCTGAACCCCCAAACTCCCCGCTCCATCTGCTCGGAAATCTTGCTTGCAATAATCTGCCGATGGTGTGAGTACGTCCAACAACTGTAGTCGTTTTATTGTTCCGAACCCCGAAATTCCGGTACTCGGGCCATTAATTACCCCGGAGACCCTCGGAACCTGCTGTGTTTGCTGCTTGTTTTTTGTTTTGTTGTTGAGCTGAAACACAAGCGCGCCTTCGCTCCTTGTGCTCACTCTCATCTAGCACCCATCAAAGCCTGACCAGGGAGTTAGTTGATCAGAACATCTATCTACGTTTCTCTTTCCGAAGCTTGCTCGGGCCTACCGATCTCACAGCAGCAGTGTAACGTCTGTGATAGACTACGAAGTCTACGAGCTACATAGAGCAGCACCACGATGACAGCAGTGTAACCTCTGAGGTACACTGCAAAGTCTGCGAGCTACAGCAGCACCGCCACCTCCGCTGCTGTTGAACGCCACATATTGTGAGAGCGGAACGTAGAAGGAGCTGTGGGGTGTTGCTTTTTCGACACACTCTCCCCGCAACCCAGGGTTTCTCATCATGTAGTAGGGCAGCGGTCGCCGCTGTTACATTTCTCATTGTGTGACCCAGCGTGAGCCATGTTTTCATATTTTCTTAAAAAAAATGTTTCTTAATTGCTGGCTCAAACTGTAGGCTACTCATAGAAAAAACTCCAAAAGTAAACAAAAATAAAACAAACGAAGGGAAACCCGGCCACCGGATCAAAACCCTCCGCCCGCACGGGTTATCCTGCTGATTAAACTGTCAACACAATGAACACAGCAGCAGTCACCAATAAGTGCAAACCTACGCGTTTACAACTGTCAGGCATTTGTGCTACTCCTTTTCAAGTAGTAGTAGACTAGTCCCATTCCAGCAACGGGATCCCCTACTCTGTATCAAGTTGTTGTCAGCACCGCGGCGCGCCTAAAGCCACAAGCACCAATGCCAAAGCTCAGCGGAAAACAAACGTAAAACCTAGCGCTATATCGCTCGATGACATGTTAATGAGGGCGATCAACCAAGCGGAAGTTCGAGCAGTATCTCACCCACAAGCGGTCCACCGCTTCGAGAGTAAGCTAACCGTTGCAGCAGAAGACACTGTGGGTGTATTGGTGTGTTTGCGCTGTGTGTGATGCCAATACGTCAGTCGTCCTCACCCTACCGCGCCCCTCCGGTGACCGGACGCACTTTTCCCGCCTGTCTTCGATATTATCTCGACACGACCCTTCCCCTCTTTGTTTGCTTTATACGATGCTCACAGGATGCCGTCGCAAAACATTAGTTAATTACTCACAGAAGTCGTCTACGTCGCACTACTTGAAAATAGAGTGGAGGAGGTTTTTTTTCGTATGCTTTTCTTGCCAACGCCGCACAGCTCTGTTGTTTTGCTGTGTGAGATTGAATGCGACGGTCTTTGGGCTGCGCTCAACCGTCAACACATTCGACCAACAGAATATGTACTCTCACACTTGAGCGTTGGTCGTGATCGGATGATGAGTGGTGAGGAATTGCAGACGAACATGCGGTCTGTTGAGCAGCGCACGATGTACGTACAGAGTGAGCGGCAACCCACGTTAGATACAGCCGCTCGCTGTACAGGACACACATCTTTTGTGGCGCGAGTACGCGGCAGATCAGTGTGGACTATTGTTGGAATCGTGTAGAATTTTTCGATATATCGTCGTATCCATTTGTCGTTTCGATCTCGGTTATCGGAAACATTTGAACTTTTGGATATTTCGATATTTCGATATCGATGCGATAAATCGATGAATACTCCACGGAATCCCCCCAGCTGCGCACCACACAGAGCACAAAGCAGCAGCCGCGCCGTGAAATGCGCGCATTCAACGAAGTAGCCGCAACTTCTAACAATTTATCTCTCATTTTTGTGCCATTTCTCTCATTTCCACCCTAAATAATTACTCGCAGAACGTCGTCGTCGGCCGTCGACCGTCGACCGTCGACCGTCGACCGTCATTGTCCTTGAAAATATACTGCGGTCGAAAAATATGAAAAAAGAAATCCCGCATATTTTTCAGTTGTTGTGTAACTGAGTGGAGCCTTGGCGGGTATAAGTACAGTTGTTGTGTGCCTAGATTGAGTCCTTGGCGGATATGAGTACGGCGCCGACCATGTATAGACGCCATCCGAGGGTTGGAGGAGCGTCCTCACTGCATAACGCGTCGGAGAGAACGGCAGTCCAGCAGATTTTTTTTTTTCTCCCATCATCGGACTCTGTCGTCTGCCCCTCTGGCCTCTGTCCTCCTCTTCTACTAACTAGACGACCCAACCGGGGTCACATAGGAAGGGGGGGCTGGACCCCCTCCTGCGGTTCCTGCCTGAGGTATTTTTATCGCGAGAAGGGCACACCAATCCCTTCCCTCGCGACTTACGAAGTCGATTACGAAGTCGATTGCAGTCCGGCAGATGTACACTACTACTGGAGGACTGTCAGCAGCTGGTGGTCACAACTGAAAGGTAAACTACGCGGGGTGCAGCAAGCATGTTCTGGACGTTACTTTGGGGCACTGGGTAGTCGGCCGTGTTAGGCCGAGAGATAGAGGTTGAGAGAAAGTGGGAGAAGGAAACTTGATTGGAGAGAGACGGTGGTGGTGGTGGTGGAGAGAAAGAGGGAAGAAACGCGCAGCACGCACGCAAGCCTCATCATCGCACCGACCACGCCCAAAGGGTCCCCGTGACTGCGTCGGTGGTACCCTTCAACACACGAAATTCCCAACACGCATCCCCCTGGGATCCTCACGATCAGATACTGCTGCGAGTATATCTAACATCCCCCCTGCTCGCAACAGTATCTCACTGAAAAATTCGCTAACACCCGATATCTCAACCAGAAGACGTCTTTCCCAGAATTTATGCCATGAAGACTTGACCTAAACAAAATATGAGAGAAAAACAATTCAAAGAAACATGAAAGAATGCTGCATCGCGCGTAACAAAATTTTGGCGCGGGAAATGAAACAATACGGGAAACAAAACAAGACCAAAACACAACCCATCAGAAGCACAATAAAATATTCATGATAAATTTATCACAATATCACGGCGAGACTCGAAAGCATCCTTGGAAACTCTTCGTAAGAAAGTCTGCACGCTGGTACGGCGACGGCACGTGGATGACCGAAACTTCCTTCCTCTCTACGAGTTCCCGGAGAAAATGCTGCCTTACATCTATGTGCTTCCAGTTCGAGTTAGAGATGGGGTTCTGCGCTAGTTGAATCGCCCCCTGATGTCCTCGAAGATGGGGATGCACGCCATGCCGACCTGCGGCAACACGAAACGCCAAATCTGCCTCAAAAACAAGATCCCTTTTACTACGTCACCTAGCGCGACGTACTCTACTTCGGTGGTCGAAAGCGTTACACACTTCTGCGTTCTGGAAAACCAAGACACAGCGCCTCCTCCACACGTCACGATCCCCCCTGATACCGACCTATGGTCTACTGCCTTGCTTGCAAAGTCCGCACCAGCGTATCCCCGCAAGCTGAATCCCGCTACTGTACCTCTCTGAAAAGAAATACCATGGTGACTCGTCCTCTTCGCATAGCCTAAAATGTCCATCGCTGCATTCCAGTGTACCAGCTTCGGAGATGCGCAATACCTAGCTACTGCCCTTACTGCATTCGCAATGTCTGGCCAAGTCTGAGTGGAGGAGATATTTTTTCGTATTTTTTGCGAACGCCGCACACCTCTGTTGTTTGCTGTGTGAGATTGAATGCGACGGTCTTTGGGCTGCCCTCAACCGCCAAAAGATTTGACCAACAGAATAATATGTACTCTCACACTTGAGCGTTGGTCGTGATCGGATGATGAGTGGTGAGGAATTGCAGACGAACATGCGGTCTCTTGAGCAGCGCACGATTTACGTACAGAGTAAGCGGCAACCCACGTTAGATACAGCCGCTGTACAGGACACACATTTCTTGTGGCTCGAGTACGCGGCAGATCAGCAGTAGTCTTCACGGCCCGAAAAAATTGGCACTACGAACGTATGAACTACAAAATGGAAATGTATTAGCAGTATAGCCAACCACCGACGCCCCTGAAGACCGACGGCACACGGGACTGTGTCTGTAATCGCATGCTCTACGCTCGAACACACAGACACACAGGAGCACCGGAGTGCTCTACGCCGTCGATGCATAGAAACCACCGTAGCGCCGAACTTGCGTCTAGCACTTCCAATGTAGCACAGCAGCCAGGATCCAGTGAAGCATCAGCAACTCCTCTGTCTGCTCCAAGAACAACACCGCGCGGTGTGGGACTAGTGCAAGGAGGAACGGTCAACCACCGTAGCGCCGACCTTGTGTCTAGCTCCAGTCTGCCAGTTTACAGCAGCGAGGACCCAGTGAAGCATCAGCACCTCCTCTGCCTGCTCCATTGACGACAGCGAGCGGTGTGGGACTCGTGCAAGGAGGGATGGTCCACCACCGTAGCGCCGAACTTGTGTCTGGCACTCTGGCCAATGTAGCACAGCAGCCAGGATCCAGCGAAGCATCAGCAACTCCTCTGCCCGCTCCAAGAACAACAGCGAGCGGTGTGGGACTCTTGCAAGGAGGAACGGTCAACCACCGTAGCACTGAACTATCTAGCACAGCCAGTTTAGCACAGCAGCCAGGATCTAGTGAAGCATCAGCACCTCCTCTACCTGCTCCAAGAACTACAGCGAGCGGTGTGGGATTCATGCAGCAGGACACGCTATCTGCTCTATCTTGCGCAGCTTGGGGTCCAGGTCCTGTGCGGGGTGGTATCGGAGAGAGTGGGTCTGCTGTGAGCACTCTGAGCGGTAGTTGAAGCAGTGGCGTCGGCGTCAGCGTCGGCGGTAACGTTCTTGGGTGGGGCGGTAGCCAAGCAGGGGGGGCTGGTCCCGCTGCTGCAGTGAGCGGCCGCGCGAAGGGTGGTGTCGGCGGCCGAGTCCCTATGCGGAGCGGTGTGCAACCCTCACCAGGAACGGGAGTTGGTGCCCTTAACGCCAACGGCGGCAGAGGAGGTGGCAGACCTGCGCGCACTCTGAGCGGTGGTAGAGGTGGTGGTGCCGGCGTCGGCGGCCAACGCCCTGGGCGGGGCGGTAGCCAAGCAGGGGGGGCTGGTCCCGCTGCACCAGCGAATGGCCGCGGGAGAGGCGGTGTGCAACCCTCACCAGGAACTGGAGTTGGTGCCGTTAATGCCAGCGGTGGCAGAGGAGTCGGCAGACCTGCGCGGACAAGGACCACACTAAACCGCCGGTGCTCCGCGTGTGGTGCATTGCCTTCATACGGAAACCAGAAAAAGAGACTCTGCCTGGAGGATAGGTGCCGGCGATGGGCGTGTAGGGCGCGCTGCTACCACGGGTTCAACAAGGATCTCCAACAGAAGTGCTGCGAGTGTCACAAAAGCATCAAGACGTGGTGCGAGTGCAAAAGGTGAGCCTGTTCCTTTTTTTTGTCATATATCGTCTCCCTCTTTCGAGCAGGTCAGTCTTCCCTTCTTGCGTCATGTTTTCGCCGCGACCTCGAGATGAAGATTGAGGTTGTGGGTGTGTTTACTCGTCTTGTTCGTCTCTCAGGATGCTTCTTCATCAGCGATCGGTTAGCCAAACAGCGGGGGCCAACGCTGGCGTTCAGAGTGCTACGGGGGGCCATTTGCGAGCACGCCGCTGCGTCGTTGGAGGCGCTTGACAAGAACACGGTGGTGGACGCGACGCCTATCTTTTTCAACGGCATCAACGGATGTCCGTACGCGGGTTTGACCGCGTGTATCTCGCAAGCCCGAGCTAAAACGTTCTTGTCGGAAGTAAAAGAAACGTTGTTAGTGGGGATGGTGGCGGAGGCAAAAGACGTCGGCGTGTACCAAGTCGTCCAACTAGGCGAGTGGGGATACGCCGTGAGCGAGAGGCGGAGTAGAACTTGCGAACTGGACTGGGCCCATGTGAAGTACGACAAGGGTGACGGCAAAGGCAAGGGCAAGGGCAAGGGCGCATCGAGGAGGATCACTGCTGCCCGGGGCTTGATGTGCAAGGCGAGGATATGTGCGCTATAATGGGAATCTTGCGACAGTTCTTGGAGTACGGAACGAATATGGAATACGTCGCTGTTTACTGCGCTGTGTGCGACTTAAATGCCATGCCAGCCGACTAGTGGTTTGTGCTATTTTCGGCCTTGGATATCTCGCATATTGAATGTCTCGAAGTTTGAGGCCGAAAAGTGAGGTTTTCATGAGAATTGCGTGCTCGCACTTTGAGTGAGGGGTGGGTACTCTAGACTGGGTTCTGTTTACACCGTGTTTGTGGCTTCAGAGGAGTGCGTTCGCTAACGTGTATTGGCAGTCAAGTGGTAGACCATTCCAACGATACATCCTGCCGTCTTGGGTTTTCGAATGTGCCAGAAAATTGATTCACAATAATTGTGTTACCGTAGTCGACGGTGACGTACCGGATGGACATAGCCTCTTAAATTGTGCTCGCCTGAGGGGATATACAAAGGTAGGTAAGGGTTATTTTTCCACGTGAATACGCCGGGGGTTGATCACCGCGGGAGAGAACAGAAAAACAGCCTCCCATTCACACACTCTGTGTTCCCGCAATGGAGGATACGCGAGCGAGCGTTCGACGGATGACGAGTACCGTCCAAAAAGTGTATGTCCTCTGGGTGCGTCAGCACTGACGCGTTGTGATGGTGAAGTGCTCGTGAAAGATCGTCCGAAGAAAAACGGGGGGAACTCACCGTAATGGCTGGAGCGTGTACTTACCCCGGGGGTAGATTTTAAGAGGGGAGGGGTGTACTCATAGTCGTGCATGCCGTAGTCGTTAGACCATTGACCTCGCATCCCTACAAAGCCGGGACGGAGCACGCCGGGTTCTCACCGGACCAGGCTCTCACATCACCAAGCGCGAAACGCCGTGAGATATTCGGCGGGTCGCATGAAGTGTGCGCTGCATCCTGGCAAGGGTATACGGCATCTTGTGCTTACTTCCTTGCGTACGGATGACAGCTGCGTATAA